CACCTCTTCATATCGTATTTCTTCGCTAATCTTTGCAAAGAAGCTTGGTATCAGTGACCTTGAGGGAAAGCTATTTTCTCATAAAATTGCAAAAATTAGGAGGGCAGCCATGACGTTAACAAGAGTTAAGAAATGTCAAATGGCGCTCCATCAACATTAAAGTCTAATTTTGCCTGCAACTATAAACCTTCTTGAAGCAAGAACTTCTTTTTAATTTGAGCCATGCTTGATGTACTATCAGACTAATGGAAAACCCGATTTATCTATTATTCATTGCCTTAAATGAGATTCATACTGCAACCTAGCAACAGTCCAACGATATGAGTGCTATATGGTACCTTAGAGTTTGGATAAACGAAGTAATTGCATACTTTAGGCAGATTTCCGAACAGAACTTGGACGAGCTTCACTTAACCTTTGTCTTTCGGAACCATGCGAGTGATTATAAATGCTCATTAAGTATCAATCATGAACGATGGCGATAGCGGGAGACTCCATTTTGCGGAAGACACATTTATGCGACAATAGAAGGTGCAAACAGATAAGCGTCGTCTGGAGATGCATATGAGGTCAATTTTTATGGGGGCCTCTCATATTTCGGGCCCAATTAGCTCCAGCTCACGCCTCCTTGCAGTCAACATGTTCTTGCCTCATCCTTGGCAAAGTCGTCGGGCTAGACCTGTCGATTTTTCATACACTCTGATCTTGCCTTGGACGTGTGAATGGCGCGACGGGGTCATTTGAGGGCATTGAGCGACTCTTTGTTGAACATTGATAATCGGTCCACCCAACATAAAGTAGGGCGAATACTTGCTTTTCCACACACGCACGCGGTTCCATGATTCCCGGACCTGAATACATCTTCCTGTCTTGCGGCTGTTTGCATTCCGACCAAACATAAGCCTTAACGACACTGCGTGTCGGGAATACGGATGTGACCAAGGTGGGATCGAAGCTGTAGTCTGGATGAGAAAAAGCTTAAGGAGGCAAGGACAGATGAACCTCATGGGCACTACGAAGCCTCATTATTTCATGGAGAGAAAAGTGTCGACCATCAGTTCATAAATCATCTAAAGCAAACTTATCATGTTTACGCTCTTAGTCGTGGATTGGTGATAGTCTCGACGAGCACCTGCGTGGATTGAATGTATGCTAAATAACTATTTTTCGTATTTAAGTAGAGTTTTCCGATAGCAAATAACTTTAGTCTCTAGTCAATTGTTGTAGCTGGAAGAAATAATGAGGAAAGCTCAGAAATGCTTTCATGCCTCATGACCTCCCGTCTTCACAAATTTCCTGCATCCTAAACTTTACGTCTAGCACTGGAGGGGACTAGGTTGCCCTGTTTACACTTCGTTTGCTTGTTGCGGATTTTTGAGTAGGCACACAAATATAACCTTTCAAGTGTCCACCAGCAGGCGATTTCACTTAAACCTCTGGTCATCTGTCGCTTCTCCTTCACATCTGACGGCCTTACGAGCATTTATTCATTTTTGTATTTGGACAACAACCCAAATAATCGACTATTCAGCTACCCAATTGCCCTGCCAACAATTCAGTCAAAATTAAACTAGAAAGGACTGTATCTCTCCAAATGCTTCTTGCCTCGGTTGGATGGTACCGTCGAAGAAGTGGACTCACCATTTGATCAAAGTAAATTTGCAACATTGTGGAAAATTGATCAGCTTTAAGTTTTGCACAATGCTCAAGTCAACAGGATCCGCTCTATTCTGCTGTGAGTTGTGGCGTAGACGGGAAGCAGATCGAGCACTGGAGTAGAGCTAACGGATGCAGATCCGACAGTCAGAAGGGAAGACGCCCTCCTTTCTTTGCACCCTTTGGGCGACAGAAGTCTCCGATGCATGCTGCAGGGCAGTCATGGAAAACGATAGATCACTAGTCTGAGTTACCATTTGGCACTCTTCAGAGGCAAACCTTACAGAAGCCCACATGCACTCAAGACGAACAGATAGACTTGGGCATCTAAATTGCCACTCTTTTGAAATCAGAGTCTCTTCATTACAGCCTTGCTTTTAGCAAAAGACTCTAACCAGCGTCTTTCTGTCTCTCTTTCTCTCCGCAACAGTCAAGCCCCGCTGTTCGATACCCAATCAATCCTCACGCTGCCCTTACAGTCGTCCCTCTTACCCACGCCAGACAAGATGACATGAGATCGAAGGTACCATTTTATGCAGTAGCTTTCTCGCATCAGATTTCCCCTTTCGCGCACAGACCATTCATGCTACACACTTACACACCTCAGGCTACATGTCCAGACATTGATGTTCTCGCACTCCGACCATTAGTCCAAGCCTGTCAAATTGGTCTACAACCGGATCAACCGTTCAACGCTAACCACAAGCCGACCTTCACATCCTGATGATCTGGCAATCTACCTCAGCGACGACACCTTGCCACAATCCTCCAACAATGAATTGCCTCGACCGACAACCGCGAAAAGTCCCGAAGCTTGGCTCTCCGAAGTCGCCGTCTCCCTGACAGCTTCGCCTTCAGCATTATAGCCCCAACCGAACCGGATTATGTTGATGATGTTGAAGGCTGGCTTCCGCAAGCGATTCTTCTTTCTACGTCAAGTCTGCAGCTGCGTAGCATCAAATCCGTTGGAAGGCCCAAACCGATTTCGAAACATAATCGCGTTATCCTCTTGTACCTCCCATCTGCTTCTGATCAGACGATCTCTTCTGCGAGCCCATTCTTTGCAGCACGACATCCCCATTAGTTGAACGCACACAAATTGCTGACATATTATTATCACTGAATTGTGTTCACCATTTGAGGCTGTGCAGTCTCTACATCGCATAATATCCTGTCAATTGGGTGAAGACGAGCTTCAGCGTAACATTGGTCTGAAAGTCAGATTAGAACAGCAACCCAGCTGAGTTTGGTTGGATATATTCAGTTAGTGTTTGGATAGCGAAACCCTCATCATCCGATCGACAATGGCCCAGATCAAGTCAATCTTCTCAATCTTCTCAATAGACATTTCACGAACTGGCAATTAAGTCTATTCATATTTTCCGTAACAGCCACCTCCAGTATCCACGTCCGATCGAGGGCCGTGGAGACGACAAGCCTGAGACATTGTGACACAACTTTTCCTTTCGAAGAAACAGTCGACTTTTATTCGCCGGAAACCGAAAAAGGATTGTCTTAGAGGGAAAACCGCTGACTTGGGCACAGCAATCCTCGGCTGACTGCCTTGCGACCTCGATCTACCCATACCATGCATCCGTCTTTTATGTGACGTACATCGTGAGAGCGAAAAACACTGACTTGCATTAAAAACATACAAAATACAATAGCACGGTTTGATCGGATTCATTAGACAGTCAGCCAGAGACATCTTAGCACATTTCAACATACCGCACTCACAGATAATCCTGCTTCGGTTTTCGGTCAAACCGATTTAGAAAGTCATTCGAATCAATTTTTCCTGAATAAATAAATGCCGTGGCACACCAAATTATTGAGGGATTCTTCGAAAATCAGCTTTTCTCTATAAATTCAATGCCTGTAGAGGGTTTACAAGTTGATATAGACTCAAGTCTGAGTGAGGCAAGTCGAATGTAAGCAAACTTCCGAATACTCGTTCATCCTGAGTCAATTCTTGAATTATTGCCCCAGACAGATGACATCAGGTTGAAGTGAAAAAAGCTATCAAACTGCGTACAGTTCTCCTTACCAGAAGGCTTAGGAGGATGATTCCAAAGTCGGTCTTTGTCCGGATTGACGCCCAGGACAAGGTCATTATTCAGCTGACGAAGTTGGCATAACTATCCAAATGTCTGCTGCCTACTCAGCCAGCAATCTGCCACCTAACTTTGGCTATGGCTCAAAAACTAACTCTTTAAATCATACATCATACAACAGTGCCATTTAATTGCTTTGCTATCGGCCCAACTGCCCACTGGCATGACTACCCGCCATCTTAGCATCATTAGTGAAAGTACATATGCCTCTTTTCAGTCAAGAAGGAGAGACAGCACAACTGTTCAGCAGACAGTTGGTCCAGGGAGGGAGTTCACTTGTTTCTTTGATGAGTTATAGTTTGGCGCTTAAACGGACAAGGCTCAGTGACGATGCCGACTATGGGGCCTGTGAAACGTCTGGGAACTTACCAAGTTCAATGTCCGAAGCCGGAAATTGTCATGACTACTATGGCGGAGGACTCCGATCAAGATGCGTTCATCTAGGTCACCATGACAATATGACCAAGTTGCGAAAACGAGATCAACCTACTTCTATGCAACGGAAGGAGACTACAACCATAACGGAGGCCACACAATCTTGGTTTTTATACATTCGACTGAACTGGTGTATTGTGTTATGCCCGCTGTCTTTGCCAGCTCTTTCACTTGCTGTACTCTAACTTACATTCTCGTGCACTTGTTCCTCTCTGCCTTGACCCGAGGCCAGCGAAAGCAAATGGTCTTTTGGCGCGGCCACCAATTAAGTGTGTGTGTGTGTGTGTGTGTGTACACGAAATGATGTGCGTGCATCTCCAGACGCCTTCAGCAAACAATGCAGAATGCATG